CCACTCAACCCATCTTTTTCACACTTTCCTTATATATGAACTGTACTACATGATTGTAAAATTCCCTACACTGATAAAATGTGACATTATAGTACTTAATTGTGTGTGTTCTCAAGCTGTATACTTAACTTTTATCCTGGCATATTGAGGATTTAAAAGGCATAATTTAAAAAATATTAAAAGGTTGGTAGACCAGTTTTCATTCTTAAATGCACTTCATTTCCTGCTATGCATGTGCGAAAGGAAATTACATCTATCATATCAATTTCAAAAATATTTCAAATATATCTAGCAACTTCCGGTTTGAAACCATAAAAAAACTGACTCTAGGTAACGAAAATAATGAAGAAATCTTTATCTCTCACAAATAGGCACAAATGTTTCCATCTGTTCTATTTTAGTTCAGGTTTCTTCAAAAGTGATCATCCAGGAGTGACTAATATATCATAAAGATCTTGACAGAACAATTTTAATATCAGGGGTCGTTATATTTGTTGTAAATAAAATCTCATTGCCCTATTAATTTAATCTGATCAGCAATCAAATTGAAATAAAATATTAAGGGAAGATAAGGAAACAAATTAGATGAAGGTATATACATGATATGTTTTGGGCTTAAAATAACAAGAATATTTGTCATATTTATCTCGCTATCTTGAAATTTTAACATGGATTAATAAATCAAGGTACATGACTTTCAACATTTATTATTGGCAATTTAAAAAAAAAAATCAGTAATAAGAACTTACCTTTTACCAAGCTTAAACTACTAAAATTTCAAAAATATCCAATGTTTACAAGGTTTGATAATATGCATATTTATAATGCGCTATATCCACAAACTAAGTTTATGCTCAAAGCGCGATAATAACTAATGAGAGTTTTGTTTTCCTTTTACAAAGCTGTAGAGCCCCCCCCCCCCTCCTCTCCCCCATGCATCCCTGTGTGAACAAAAGTTCAAATTTACAATTTTAACATTTCCTTGATGATAAAATTATCCCAAGTAAAACTGAAATGGATGGTGGAGATGTTACCTATGCCATGAGTTGCAAAGATTCTTTCATAGTGTTGTTTGTTTCTCGAAGTGTTTTTTTTGGGGGGGGGGGGGGAATTTAGTTAGTTTGTTCAGCCAAAACTGTACATGGTGCAAACATTCTGCCAACGTAGATTTGGTTGGCCTCCGTGGATCTATTTATTAAATATAAATTGTGTCATTTTTGATGAACACAAATGTTTTACAGATGGGACAAAAAATAATCTCAGATTGCCCTTATCTCTGTTACTTCTCAACAGATCTTCTTCAGGTTTCATTTTTATACGCCCACATGGAAATGTGGTAGTATATTGTTGGATTCTTTGGACGAATTCCATATTGGCACAGACTGAAGGGTTTTCGAAATTCGGAAGTTCTCTCGATTAATATAAGCATCAAGGATTTGCAAAAGTTTTCTTCATCATTTTTTGACATTCAAGATGGCGTATCTCCGTCATTATTTGAGTTATCAAGTTGAAACTCGGTAAGAATGAGGAACACATCGATGCCTTCAACATGGCATATTTAAAACTTTTGTGACCGCATCCGGAAACTTCCAGAAATTACCAAGGCCTTCCGATTTTTCCTGAACATGAATACTTTTCTTGCTTTTTAAAAATAGATGGTGGTGTCAGCCCCAGATATTATCTTTCATTTTCAGAGACCTTGTTTGATAACATTTTCAACCATTTACCCACATATTGGCTTTTATAAAAAATCTTCAAATCAATATTCAGCCGCTATTTTGATTCTGATTATTTTTTTTTTTGAATCTACTCCAAATGGCCACAATTCTTAGGGAGCCGATTTTTTAGTTTTGATTTTGTTTACTTCCGGTTTTACATTGAATTTTCTTTGACTTTTCAACTTCTATCTGGTGACCTAACCTTGTAATGACCCTTGACCTTTTCATATATGATGACCCTCATGTCCACTAACAATTAATATCAACATGTTCGGTCTTGAAGTATAATTTCCGGTTTTATTAAGAGTTCAAAATGACAGGTTTTACCACTTTAATAGGTATTGGATCTTACTAAACTCAATAATGCATGGTGTAACTTGATTGAAATTTCATACAAAGTGTCTGACATTTTGGTAACAAAATACCATGGGAATCGTTTGTTGACAAGTTCAGCTTTGAAACTTTTCATTGTGTATTCAAACTAGAGCGATATGTTTTTTTTAACATTACAATATATTTTATGTGCGTCTTTGGTGCATGTTGTCTGTAGAATTTCATCTTTTTATCAGGAAAATGTGGCTTTAAAAAGAAACGTTTCTTTAACCTTATCTAATTGGTGAGGTTGAGAAAAACTTAAGTGCATTAGTTAATATAAATATATTTCATTTTCTTATCTTCCAACTTAAAGAAGCAGATGAAATAGTTTTCTGTGATCAGACAAAACTATCTTCGAATGATTTAACATATTCATAAAAAAATGACAGCTTCAGATATCAAGTTAATGATAGCATTTAACATAATTCTCAAAATATGTCTACTGCCTAAATTTACTCTTTCTTCAGAATACATATATGTTTGCCATCAAGTAGTTTGGAATATGGCCAGTTTACGATTTTCAAAAAATATCATTTCCCTTATGTTTTCATAGTTTCAACCTTTAAAAGAATGTCTAAAACTTTCATAGAATTTTGAATACTTCACAAAGTTTTTGCTCAAGAATAAAATATTTGGAATTTTCAATTAACTTTTTCCTTCAAAATAATAACTGATGTGCACCTAGAAGTTTCATGGTAGTTCTTTTACCTCTTGACTAAAATGTCTGAGACATTAACAAGGTTACATATTTGAAAAAGGGTATAAAATTACAATTAAGGTGTCTCATATGGCTGCCCTGATCACCCAACTCCTATCTCCCAAGCAATGTGGATATATGCTTTCAAAATGGGATGTAGTACTCAAATTTATTCCTTTTACAACTCCTGGTTAACAACTGTTACCCAAGGGAACAATATTTTTACGAACATGTATTCTTCATTTTCAGTAGGAGACTGATCATGTAATAGCATCAGATAACATTTTATATGTCATACATGTAAAACTGGTTTAGTTGTATTTCTGTTCCAAATTATGACTGAGTCCAATTAACAACCAATGCCTAACTGCGTAACAATGTCATTCGGGTTTAAACAGAGCTTCACATTGTTTACATAATGTTACGTCATGACTTACGAAATTTTTACCCACGATAATTAACCAGTGCATAGCAGAATATTGCAGAAAAACTAATTGCGTGACAAACGAGGCTATCAACTGTTACAATGTAAACAATACTGATTGGAGACAAACAATATTTTCACCGTTTTTAATACCTTAAATCACTGTCCAAAGTTTTAAGGAAGACCCCAGATTAAACGAAGGGCTGTCATATTGCTGTACTTGAATGGGAAGAATAGACACACTCCCTCAAAAGCTCAAGTATCATAAGTCAATCCAGCAATGGCCAGAGAGGGATTTCTCGGGCCATTGCTTCAGGAATATGGTTAACATATTTTTTTCTTATTTCTTAAACCATTTCTCCTACATATTATCAGGATAAAAGTGAAATTTAAATTAATCTGTATCGTCATTTTTCAAAACTGTAATTGAACAGTAAGAAGACAACAATCAAATAACAATGACTCATACACTATAATTAAGAAAAATATCATGCTTTATGTAAACAAATAACTTCAAAAACTTGTAAGAATATATGCTTAAAAGCATGAGCGTTGATAGTTGGTTGGGTGTGTGTGGTGTGTGTGCAGGACCTTACTTCATTCATAATCTGTCAGAAGGCCCTAAAAAATTGTAGGTAAGTGCCCTCTACCCCATAACTTATGTGTTATGATTAACTTATGATCAACACCCATGTACTTACCTCTAATTTCTTTATCTGTAAGCTGTGTATACTCAAACATTATAATTATTTATCTGAAATATAAATAAATTGTCTTGGGTATTGCTTTATTTGTCTTCCCCACTGTCTGTCCACCCATTTTTGCTTCATAAGCAAGAATCTAAAGTTATCATCCAATTAACTTGGAATTTATACACAAGACAAAAAATTCTAGTGATTTTCATCAATTTCTGATAATTACTGTTGTAGTTATTGTCCCTGATGAATTGAAAAATTGTGTTGATAACTTAATGCAAGGCTTATGTCGCCTTTGCAACTGCTTTCAACCAGTTACATGTGTGCTTATATCGATCATATCAGCAACTGCGGGTAACTGAATTCTGAATGCTCATGTTGACTCGGAACTGAGTTATATGAGGCAATCTGAGTTATAAAAGGCGATCAGGTCGACCATTTACAGTTGCATTTAGTTGAAGCCAGTTGCTCCCATTTGCTGAAATGCCAGTTGCTCCCAGTTGCTGAAACACCAGTTGCTCCCAGTTGCTGAAACACCGGTCGACATAAGCCCCACTTAAGAGGCTAAAGTTATCATCTGATTGACATGAAATTTATACAGAGTGCAAAGAAGCATAATTAATTTCACTGATTTTCAATAATTACTGCCAGAGTTATGGCCCTTGATCACATTGAAAAATGACACACTAGAGGCCAGAGTTATCATTTGATTTATACAGTGCTTATGTTCATGAGACGAAGAAGTCTATTGATTTTCAACACTTTCCGATAACTCGAACAGATACATGAACCAAATTTAAATTATTTCTATTGATAACTTCAAGGTGTGTTACTCTTGATCAGTTTTTATTAGTGTCTTGTGAATCCTCCCATTGCCTACAAAAGAATAAATATGCTGGGAGGGTGAGTATGTTTCATTGCCTGCCAACCTTTCTATGTGACTACCGATATAACTGATTACTAGTAAACTGCAGCCATGGCATTTTGTTTTCATTTAATTTAAAATCATTACCCATATAAATGTTTGAAGATTTTGGTTGTTACAATGAAATCACAACACAATAATCATGATCTTGTACATGTATTTCCAGGTTTTGATGATGATCAACTAGCCAATTGGACCAAAAACATCCGCCAACAGCCAATAAAATCCTTGAAACTACCGACATGGAATAAATGTGGTCGTGCCAAAAATAGATACGTAATATTAGGTGATGGGACATCACTTTGTGGACGCTACAGGCACCCTCACAATAAATTAGTGCTTGGTAAGTTTGATTCTGCAAAATTCTTATAGGAAGTGAACACTGAACAAAAAATATGTCATAGACTGATTCATTTATGTTATGATTAGCTTTTAAGGAGCTAAATCGCTATTCTTTGGTACCTATAAATGGATGCAAAGGGGATAGCAACGCAAATAATTATGTAATATGAATGTATATAAACTGATTTACTTTCAATCATTTCTGTTTTTACTGTAATTTCTAGTCAGTTATGTTCGGCGAAATATGCGAAGTGTCTGAATTGAATGGTAGTCTGTGGCATCTGGTTATTCTAGTCTACACTGGTAATATTCTCCTACATGGTACATGTTTAGCCTCGTTCATCAAGTCGCTTCCTAAAACTGGTGCTTGAAAGCATTCTGGCACAAGATTTGTGTGCCAATTTTAAAATTTCATTTTATCTTAAATATTGGATATCAGAAGCTCAACTTTTCATGGTAAGATAACAACATCACTGTTGATTTAAATTGAGCAATAGGGCGTGTTTGCAATGTCAAAAACTGTGGATGATATTGAGTTATCACAGTGGTTCTCAACCACACCTTGGAACACATGAAGAAATAGCGGACACCTGGCAAAATAAAAATTATAATTTTATACTTTCAGGTGAAGTTCTATCATTTTATTTATCAAAATTGTTAAAAATGGACAATGTACCTGGTGTGGTGTTGTCCAAGTTAGATTCTTCAACTCTTCAATGGTCTAGTCAGAATCTAGATGAAGCTGGCTGGGAAGAAGGAAAATTTGTAGCTCTTATACAATGGATACCAGATATGGAAACTAGAAAGTAAGGACAAATCATTAGATATAAAAAAACATTAGATAACATCATTAAATCAATCAATGGCATCAATCTTTCAAAGATTCCTATCTATGACATACATGTAAATATGGTCCCCAATGATAAATAGGATTAATCACTAGTGTCAAAAGTAGTAGCCTGTTTAATTGGTTGTTATTAGGTTAAAACATTAAGACTTTGAGAGCTATCAACAGTATTCCAGGCAAATTTAATTTTTTGTCGTCGCTCTGCCCGTCCGTCGGTCCGGTATCCACAATTGCTTGTGGACGCTCTAGAGGCTAAAGTTAACATCCGATTGACTTTAAATTTATACACAGTGTTTAAGGTCATGAGACGAAGGAGCCTATTGATTTTCAGCGATTTCCGATAATTACTGCCAGAGTTCTGGCCCTTGATTACTTCAAAAAATCTTGTGGATGCTCTAGAGGCCAAAGTCAATCGGATAATTTATAAAAAGTTTAAGGTCATGAGACGAAGAAGCCTATTGATTTTCAGCGATTTCCGATTATTACTGCCAGAGTTATGGCCCTTGATCTCTTTGAAAAATCTTGAGGATACTCTAGAGGCTAAAGTTGATATCCGATTGACTTTAAATTGATACACAGTGTTTAAGGTCATGAGACGAAGAAGCCTATTGATTTTCAGCGATGTCGGATAACTACTGCCAGAGTTATGGCCCTTGATGACTTCAAAAAACCTTGTGGATGCTCTAGAGGCTAAAGTTAATATCCGATTGACACGAACAAATATATTGATTTTCAATGAATTTTGATAACTTGAACAGCTAAATCCATGATATTAAGAGAGAGAGAGGGGGGGTTTAACATCCACTCGACACAAACTAGGTCATTTCGGGACTAACATATGGTTCAATTTTATTTCAATAATTCGCTTGTGCGTAGGGGTCCTTAGCAGTGGGAGGAAACCGGAAATGCACCACTTTCAGTGACACTTCACAAATTTATTCACTCGTTCCTCTTGTACAGCCTTAAATGTTGTATATCCTGTATCTTTAATTGTCTTTCCAGATCCTATGTGCATATGCCTAAGCAGATATTAGAAGCTTTAGAAAGTAATTCATTAGTTAATGCTGTTTCTTTAGCTGATGATCACCTTAGTCCACCAGTTTTATCTGATCTTGTTCAATGGGGCACCATGATAATATTTGATTATTTAACTGCTAATTATGATAGGTAAGCCAACCTGCAATCAATTATTCCAGTTCACTTCCGATTCTCTAGTATGAGGAATCAGATAAGATTTGTCTACCAAATTTATAATGTCTGTTAAAACTTTTCATAGTGAAATACCACCCTCCCTTTCAAAGATTATGGTATTCATACTGATCCGCACAAAAACTTTAAAGGTTTGTACACATCTCTTTAAAGTACTATTTAAAATTAATGTCTAGTTTTATGTCTTCTTAATTAATTTAATAATCCAAATGACAAATTTAATTCAATTAAATGACAAATTAGGGTTGTATATTGTCATCATCCCAATCTGTCGGTGTTGCTTGTAGATGCTCTCTAGAGGCTAATCAACTGATTGACTTTCAAGTCTAAACATAGTGTTTAAATTCATGAGACAAAGATGTCTATTTTCAATCATTTCTGATAATTATTGTTGTAGTTTTGACCTGTGATCAATTGAAAAATCTTGGGGACTCTCTTCAGATTGTCTGCGATATCACCTCAGTGGAAGCGGACTTAAAATAAAGCTATTTCACACACACTCTTCGGGTTCCAGTTATAATATGATTGACAAATAACTGCTGTCCGATTTATAGTCCTTGATCATTTGTAAATCTTGTGGAGGCTATAATTTTTATTATCAACATCATTATTTCAGAGTTGGTAGTATGCAGGATGGTGCTTACAGAGAGAAAAATCCAAGCATATTGAAGGAAAATATACGAAATTTAAGAGTATCTCTTCAAAAACGGAAATTATGGTTAATTGACAATGAAAGTGGTTTGTTAGATGCTTATGACTTATTGTATAAGGGTGGTGAAAATGGAAAACAATTCATAACTTTTCATCAACAAATGTTACGAACTATGTGTATTTTTCAGCGATCAGTGGTTCAAGCTTTACAAAGTTTACACAAAACAATTGAACCTCACAAAACATTAGAAGACTTTGCTCGACAACAAGAACCATTTGTGGACCAAATACCAAAAGACGATTCCTTCGATATATTTAAAATTATGTTTTCCAAGAGACTCAATGATGTGTTTGAGTGGATACTGTATTGCCAAAATAGATAATTGTGATAAACTAATCGTATAAGTGTTGATATAGTCCTAATATGTGTTCATATTTAATTCTAATTCTATCTATTTATCTACATCCATCCATCTATCTACCTATTGTTTGTCAATGTATTGATGTTTTCAAATATTCAAACAGTACTAAAATAATATGATTTGTTTCTATCTATCTCAGAGAAAACATCGAAACAAATTAAATCTAGTTATCAGAAGAAACTTTCTGATCATAGCAAAGGATAATTCTATTGGCATTCAGTTGTGAATCAGTATTTCTCTGTAATTATTAATTTCCATATATTTTTTTATTAAATTACTTTTCTTAGATTAATGATATCAAGATTCCAAATTAAGTTCTATAAAACAGGAAAGATATATTATATATACATATATAATAGCCATACAATATTACAGATCTACAACAATATATTACATGTATTTTCTTATAAATCTGCTATAAAATAATTATTTCTCTGTGTAACTTAAATATATGTACCCATTGTGACTCATTAAAATTTAATCAGACAGTACTATGACAAGGTAGTACTTAATACAGCCATTCATCCCATATAAATTGATAAAGTACACCACAACTTGACACCATAATTAGTACATGTAGGTAATGATTATGCAATGTTTATAAATGGATTATTCCACAAAGTGTTATTGCCTCTATCTAAGCATGCACGTCTATGAATGGCTGAATTGAATGGTCATAGTACTCCTATATATATATATGCCTGCACATTTTCAGTCGTGGTTCAAATACCAAAATTTTCAAAAATTCCTGACGAAATGTACAAATTAGGTTATGTCCTGTATAAGGAACACAAATAAGAAATAATTATTGTGGACATTCACTGACACCTCTCATTTAATTGACTACCAGGTTCTTAACATAGATCAGAAAGGGAAAAACTGGCTCATGAAGCTTGGATATGGCTAGCTTCAAATCAAATGAAAAATACATGCATTAATTTGTTCATTTTTTTTTTTTAAGTCCAGCAGCCCTCCATAATCTGGTACTACCACTACTGATGTTTATCAGTCGAAATTTATTGCATCATCTGACAATGTTTATTAGAATAAAAATTGCTGAAATTCTAGAAGACAAGAAAGGTTTAAACAGACCTATTTAAAGAGACCTTAGGTGATCTACAGGAGATTATAATTAGACAGCACTGGATTAGTAGATCATGCCAGAATACAAAACATGTAGAATGTTGGTTTAATGTATTCAAATCCATTTTTATACGCCCACATTAAAATGTGGTCGTAAATTGTCGTCGCCCCCGTCCGTCTTGAGGCTAAAGTTAATATCCGATTGACTTTAAATTTATACACAGTGTTTAAGGTCATGAGAGGAAGAATTGAAGAATCCTATTGATTTTCAACAATTTTGGATAATTACTGCCAGAGTTGTGGCCCTTAATCAATTCATAAAATCTTGTGGACACTCTAGAGGCTAAAGTTAATATCCGATTGGCTTTAAATTTCTACCCGTGTCATGAGACTAAGAAGCCTATTGATTTCCAGCAATTTCCGATAATTACTGCCAGACTTATGGCCCTTGATCACTTTGAAAATTCTTGTGGAGACCCTAGAGGCTAAAGTTAATATCAGATTGACTTTAAATTTATACACAGTGTTTAAGGTCATAAGACGAAGAACCCTATTGATTTCCGATAATTATTGCCAGGGTTATGGCCCTTGATCACTTTGAAAAATCTTGTGGATGCTCTAGCTAGACGCTAAAGTTAATATCTGATTGACTTGAAATTTATACCAGAGTTATGGCCCTTGAACACTTTGAAAAATCTTGTCGACGCTGTAGAGGCTATATAGTTAATATCCGATTGACTTCAAATTTATACACTTTGTGTAAGGTCATGAGACGATGACGCCTATTGATTTTCAATGATTTCCAATAATTACTGCTAATGTTATGGCCCTTGATCACTTTGAAATATCTTGTGGACTCTTTAGAGGCTAAGGTTAATATCCAATTAACTTCAGATTTATACATAGTGTTTAAGGTTGTGAGACGACAAAGCCAAGTGATTTTCAATGATTTCCGATAATTACTACCAGAGACCCTTGATCACTTTGAAAAATCTTGCGGACGCTCTAGAGGATAAAGTTAATATCCGATGGACTATACATTTATACACAGTGTTTAAGGTCATCAGACGACGAAACCTATTGATTGTCAATGATTTCCGATAATTCCTGCCAGAGTTATAGCCCTTGATCATTTTGAAAAATCTTGTGGATACTTTAGAGACCATAGTTATCATCTGATTGATTTTATATTTATACACTGTGTTTACTCCTATATATAATCGTTTCGATTGACTTTAGATTGATACAGAGTTTAAGGTCTTGAGACAAACAAGTATATTGATTCTCAATGATTTTTGGTAACTTGAATAGCTAAATCCATGGTATTAAATGTTTTGTATACTAAACGTTAGATTTTAGTGTATTATGAATGTTTCATTACCAACGGAAGTAAAAATATGTGACAACTCATGTTGACTGCCTGGACGATTTAGCTGCTGTGGGTGTATGTTTCGTTGCCTGGCAACCTATCTTAATTTACCACGATAAGTCATAATACAGCCATCCTAAATATTGTGAATTCCATTATACAAATGTTGTACAAATATATATATGTGTGAATGTTAGAATCAGATTACTATATTATATATAAGTCTATTATATGATGTTATATTTATTTGTCTTTATAATATTTGTGTTGTAAAATATTTTTATTTAATACGACTATATATTTTGTATATACTATTTGTTATTATTAAGTCTTAAATTACAAATATTACAAAAAAAAGGATAACAAATTTTGTGTTGATCTATTACTTTATTTTGGTTCAAGAACAACTTGATTTGACAATATGACAGAAAAGTATTCACCTACTATAGTCAAATCAAGGGTGACCAGAAGCACATTATAGTGCTTTAAGGGAGGGGTGGTGTAACTTTAAAAGAGAGTTTCTTGACAGAGAATACTGACAAGATAAGTGAGCGATCATAGGCCACAAAAAATCTGAGGGATGCTATGAGTTCTCCAGTACATCCATGATTTTTGGGACAATAAAAGTACAAGTGATGCTTAAAATTAGTTTGGTAAGACAGTTTTTAGAATATCTCTGAATGATGTAAGCATACAGGTAATTAAGCACATGGAGACAAGTCAAACTTGTGTAAAAAGCACCAGAAACTTAAAATTATTTTCAAACATATTGGATACCAAAATATACTCTTCAAAAAAAGTAGGGGATATTCAGAAACAATACAAAACTGTGGAAATGCACTGTTGTTTTTATTAGAGATAACCAGTGTAGGTTAATAATAGGCCAATTGCCTAGACATGAACATAAACAGTTCATATGGGCGGCTTATCTGACGTCCCCATTTCACTCGCAAAGAGATACACTGTCAAAAGTGAAAATGAACACTTTTGATTTTTGTCTTAATAAGAGTAATTGCTCCACCAATCCTCAGACATTCAGCAATTCATCGTGGCATGCTCTTAATCAACCGTCCAATCAGGATTTGGGGCAATCTGACCCACTCCTCTTGCAGTGCCACGGCCAATTCTTGCAGTGTTGTCAGTTGACATTGACGTCGACTAACACGTCGCCCAATCAAATTAAACACTAAAGCAAAGATATGCTAAACAGTAAATCTTATGCAAGAACCGATAGGAAAGCAAACATGGATAGATCAACCAGCACTTGACAGTTTTCATCAACCTTCCCTTGAAATGTCAAATTTGACAATGAACAATGTCAAATATGGCGCTATTGCGTGTTGCTCAGTGGTTCTTTTGGGGCGATAAGTTCTTCATCTGTGAACATACTCTCAAAGCATGTCAAATGTGACTATTTATCATATCGCAACCTGCATAGGTATTTACATTTCAACAAGCCAACAGTGAGGCTGATGTCCCCCGCCGAAATCCCCAAATAAATAGATGACACATATTAATTAATCGCACATCTATTTTTTTCAAAAGTATCGAGCAATCAAACTGATTATCAACTATACACGAAGTTTCATCACTCTCTATCAGATAGAATCAAAGTTATCTTGTCCCAAAGCATCGACCAAGGAAATTGCTTATCTCTGCTTAGCTTTAGCTCGATATGTTAATCATTGAACTCAGTCAAGGCGAACATCTACATCAAGTTTAAACATTCTACCTTAATTAGAAGCAGAGTTGTTATGTTCCAAAGTCTTGACCAATCAAAATGCTTATTGCTCCTTAGCCTAAGAAGACAATTCTCATCATCGAACTGAGTCAAGGTATTGATGTAATGAAATTATACACAAAGTTTCATCACTCTCACTTAATTAGAACTAAAGTTATCGTGTCCCAAAGCATCAACCAATCAAATTGCTTTTCTCTACTTACCATAAGCAGAAAATGCTCATCTTCGCACTCTATCAAGGCATTGACCTAATAAACACCTACACCAAGTTTGAACATTTTAGCTCAATTAGAAGGAGAGATATTGTGTTCCAAAGTCTCGGCCAATCAAATTGCTTATCGCTCATTATCGAACTTAGTCAAGGTATTGATGTAATGAAACTATACACCAAGTTTCATCACTCCCACTTAATTAGAACTAAAGTTACATGTATCGTGTCCCAAAGCATCAACCAATCAAACTGCTTATCTCTGCTTACCCTAAGCAGAAAATGCTCATCTTCGAACTCCATCAAGGCATTGACCTAATAAACACCTACACCAAGTTTGAACATTTCTAGGTCAATTAGAAGGAGAGTTATTGTGTCCCCAAAAGTGTGACGGACAGACGGACGGACAGACAGACGGACGAACCCATTTTAATAGTCCGCTGCTTTCTTCGAAAGGCTGGGGACAAAAATGAAATGAAATGGGGTTTATCACTTTAACGTCCTACTGTTCTGCTCCTAAACTGAGCTAATGAAGATGGGCATATGCCTTACAGTGTGCTATGAGGGAAATTATGCCCAGGCAGCGGCACTACAGCCTACTCTTATATCGAATTCCAACTGCCAAGGGATCTTTTACGTGCATACCCCGGTTTTTCATCCCATCCGCACGACTAGACAGCTGTCCTTGTCAGGCCCTCCATCCTGCATCACTGACAAGGGGAAACCACGCCGGAAAATCTGGATGAACTTTCTAGGCCAATGCAGGAATCGAACACCCGACCTTTAGGCTAGCGAGCCAGTGTCTTACCCACTTTGCCACCGTGATCCCCATTTACATTTCAATATCCCCTACTTTTTTTTTTAAGAGTATATTATAGACCGGAATTGAACATTTTGTGATGGAAAATTTAAAGTAAAAATGTATAATTGAGATCACAGGCTAACGATGACATGGAGAGTTGATTGTGGTCTGGATCAGTAAATAAATTCCTAATGAATAATTTAGACTTTCAGGCCTAAAGAAAGACCTGCCTGCAATAGGCATATTTAGCTCTTGCATAATATGCATGTTTAAGGGCTGATAGGCCTACTTTAAGTTCACTAGTCGAAAGAAAGTTTCTAGTTCACCTCATCACTGTATTTCTGATATCTGACGGGTTTAATATTCTTGAAGTATCGATGCAGATGCTGAGATCATCCCTTAGGATCTGATTTTAACAGTTTAACGTCGAAGATGCATCTGTACTAAGAGTCCGATTAGGCCTACCCAGGTTTACTATATTAAGAACCCTTAGCATTTAAAGGCTCAATACCACTCTTGTTGTAACTGAATAATATGTCCCAATCTTTATTCTGGTCAACAAATTGTACTATTTTACAATATTCTAATTAATTGATGATACAAATTTCATCTTAACACACCTAATTTAAAAAATTGGAAAAATTCAACTAAATGATTTGAAAAGCCTGACGTACGTCTAAAGCTTTTCAAATGTGACTTGGATTTAAAAATATTTTTGAACCCTTTGTACAAGTAAAATAGGATTTAATGGATAATTTACACAACAGGTAGGACACTAACACATCTAGTACTTATAAAATTGTTATTTTCTGGAGCTGTCAAGCCAGCAAGAGTGTTTTTGTCCCTTTAAAAGGTGAAATAAATAATCTGCATAGCACTTTAAGGACATCTTTACGCAAAGAAAATGTCGGGAATTCCTTCTAGAACACGCTTCCATGTCAAAGAAAATATTTTATCGAATATTTCGAAATGGAAGACGTACAGATAACAGTTTCTATAGAGAGAAACAGATTTAGTGTATTAAATCAGAGTTAGATACCTGTCAATCTTACTGTGGATTTCTGATGACAGCAGATCAACGGCATCACCCAATCTGAAAATTCTCACATTTCCATCAGTTTCATTCCATTCGATTACTTCCGTTGCAGGGGAGAATACTCCATTGAAGGTCCTGATTTTGCAAAAAAAAAGAATTATATTTGTTATAATATTTACTCTATACAATTGTTGAATATTTATTTCATTTGAACAATTCTTTACTTTCTTTTGCATGAAATTTAACAAAAATTGGTAATATATGCCGAAATAATGACTGCTCGTTGGGGGCCCCAAAATTTATTTGCCACAGAATGAGGGTAAAAATGAGATATCGTCAAATGTATGACAAATTCTCTAGAAACGTGTATTGTAGAGGAATGGTATGTCTTGGTATGCATCTGCACACCCAAATCCACAATTTAAACGATGTCATTAAAAACCAGCGGTTGTCATACAAGATACACCCACATTTTGCAAGAGATGGATAGAGAACAAGTTAAAAAAAAGGGTCCATTTTTTGTACAATCAGCGACCATAATCCAAGAAATGCACGAATATCGACATGGAATGCGATATTTGGGATATAAAGCTATGTTTTAAGTTTAGAGATAGAGAGTCCACAACCTTGGTATTACATACTTTTACACTAGTTAATAGTTTCGTATAAGGAGCGTCCATTTTGTCAGGCAGTTTCAGTTCGATTTTCGCGAAATTCGAACTCAATCGTCATTAGGGTGTAATGGAATATGGATACATCTAAACGCTTTTTAAAATCGGATAAAAATTGTGACCTCCAAAGGGTCCACAAGCTAAGTAAACACCTGATTTTTCGTACAATCAGGGGCCATAATCCAGGAAGTTACGGTCCGATATGCACAAATATTGAAAGGATTATAATCATACATTTCAAGTTTCATCAAAATCGAATAACAATGGTGACTTCTTGAGTATCAACAACCTTGGTACTTTCACACTATTTGCGTACAAGGAGGGGCCATTTTGTTAGGCAGTTTCAGTCCGATTTTGACGAAATTCGAACTCGCCGTCATTAGGGTATAACGGTGATATATTAAAACGTTTTTTTTTTTTTTAAATCGGATGAACATTGTGACCTCTAGAGGATCCACAAGCCAAAACATGATTTTTCGTACAATCAGGGGCCATAATCCAGGAAGTTACGGTCCGATATGCGCAAATATCGAGAGGAACCAAGATCTTTGGATTATTATCATACGTTTCAATTTTCTTCAAAATCGAATAACCAGCAACTGTCAGGCAGGATACGCCCACATTTTGCAAGAGATGGATAGAGAACAAGCTAAAAACAAACGCGATTTTTTGTACAACCAGGGGCAATAATCCAGAAAGTTATGGCCTGAAATGTGCAAATATCAAAAGGGATTGAGATCTTGGGATATAAAGATATGTTTTAAGCTTCATCAAAATCGGATAAAAATTATGACCTCTACACACTTCTACACAATTTGCGTACAAAGAGCGGCCATTTTGTCGGGCAGTTTCATTTCGATTTTCCCGAAATACGAATTCAATTATGGTGAAATGGTGATGTATTTAAAAGGTTTT